CAGACAGGTTTCTAACAGACCAGAAAATATACAGGAATGTTATCTGGTTCCCTCCAGTGGCCAGTTCTGATATGGGACCTTGCCAATATCTACGTAAATACAGGCAAGACAAAATTGAAGAATACATCCATTGCTACTTAGGACTGATAAAAGAATGGCATACACACACCCTCCCAAATTATTGTGAAAATGCCTGTAAAAATAAATGTACTTAAAATATTAATATATTCTTAATATTAAATACTCTTAATATTAAAAGTAATATTAACTACAAGGTATTAATTGTTACTCTGGTTGGGTAAACAGTTGCGATCACAGCATTGGAATGATAAAATAGCTACTCTGTAATGCAGGAATGTTATCTGGTTCCCTCCAGTGGCCAGTTCTGATATGGGACCTTGCCAATATCTAAATACAGGCAAGACAAATTTGAAGAATACTTCCATTGCTACTTAGGACTGATAAAAGAATGGCACACACACACCCTCCCAAATTGCTGTGAAAATGCCTGTAAAATAAATGTACTTAAAATATTAATATACTGTACTCTTAATATTAAATACTCTTAATACAGTGGACCCTCTACTTACAGAATTAATCCGTATTGGAACTGTGGCTGCAAGTCAAAAAGTCTGTATTTTGAAACTAACAGACCAGAAAATATACAGGAATGCTATCTGGTTCCCTCCAGTGGCCAGTTCAGATATGGGACCTTGCCAATATCTACGTAAATACAGGCAAGACAAAATTGAAGAATACATCCATTGCTACTTAGGACTGATAAAAGAATGGCATACACACACCCTCCCAAATTATTGTGAAACACAAAGAACTGATCGTCTCTCCCAGATATGTAACATTTCTGGACAATTTTTCTGCACCATCCTCGAAGGAGGTGTGCTTAGTGCCTGAGCATGCAGATTTCATTCATGAAACCTTGCTCTTTGTTTAATTTTTTTTAGTGGTCCAATAAAACTCTTCCATTTGTCATCGAGAACACACCGGCCCGCTCACAGTAGACTGTGAGTCCTCATGGAACAGCTTTGCCCTTCCCCATAACCAAGATATGTCTTTAATAGAGATAGACACTTCATATTTTGTACAAATTTGTATGAAATATCGGCACCTCTCCACCCTGAGAATTGGCCCAGGCCACTCACCAGGTTCCGTGCGCTGCAGGAATCCTTCTATTGCTGATTCAGTGCTCCAGTCCGGGAAGGAGCCCAGGCAGTCCTTTCCCACCTCCCTACATAGCCAATCAGTGAGGAGGTGGGAAGAGGGCTCCTTCTCAGATTGGAGCACTGAATCATCAGTAGAAGAATAATATTAACTACAAGGTATTAATTGTTACTCTGGTTGGCTAAACAGTTGCGATCACAGCATTGGAATGATAAAATATCTACTCTGTAATGCAATAGGCTGAGAATCTTGCACTGCCTTCAACATTAAAATAGAGGACATATGGAATTACTGTATATATTTATTGAAGTGTTGAAGGGAGTTCCAAATCTAGGAGGAGCAATGGAGAAGGCCGCCCTGCTTTTTCATCGTTTTAATCATTACCGATCTCTGGTTATCTCTGGTTGATAGGAAGAATTCACATGACTGGTGCTGAAAATCCATTATGTCTTGCAGATGATGCTCTGACTGGCCATCAGCAGTATGTTATATAGTCCAGGAAAAAAAGGAAATAAGAGGTTCCAGAGATTACACAAATGCAAGAGTAGGTGATACCGTTTATTGGACCACTAAAAACAGTACACAAAAGGCAGAGATAACCAGAATATGAATTTATGCTCACCAGGTAAAGACATTAATCTGATGTTGAATTTGGCTACTTCTACCTGGTGAATGAATCAAATTAGACGCCCTAATTTGTGCTAAAACCTGCTGAATCTTTGTGTTGTCTTTCTCAACCCCCACAGCTAAAAAGAAGCATTTTGTAGCTAGCAATGTGAGGGGAGGCCATTACAGGATAAATTGCAGTCTTTCAGTTTCAAGGGTCAAGGTAAAAAAATTCCAAACTTCGCTACAGAGATAGTAGACACTCACCCACACACAAAGAACTGATCGTCTCTCCCAGATATGTAACATTTCTGGACAATTTTTCTGCACCATCCTCGAAGGAGGTGTGCTTAGTGCCTGAGCATGCAGATTTCATTCATGAAACCTTGCTCTTTGTTTAATTTTTTTTAGTGGTCCAATAAAACTCTTCCATTTGTCATCGAGAACACACCGGCCCGCTCACAGTAGACTGTGAGTCCTCATGGAACAGCTTTGCCCTTCCCCATAACCAAGATATGTCTTTAATAGAGATAGACACTTCATATTTTGTACAAATTTGTATGAAATATCGGCACCTCTCCACCCTGAGAATTGGCCCAGGCCACTCACCAGGTTCCGTGCGCTGCAGGAATCCTTCTATTGCTGATTCAGTGCTCCAGTCCGGGAAGGAGCCCAGGCAGTCCTTTCCCACCTCCCTACATAGCCAATCAGTGAGGAGGTGGGAAGAGGGCTCCTTCTCAGATTGGAGCACTGAATCATCAGTAGAAGAATCCTTGCTGATGAGTGGGCAGCTGCATGTGGAGGTAGAGGGTCTCCCCACTTAGTTGATGAGTGGGCAGCTGCGTGTGGAGGTAGAGGGGCGCCCCGCTTGGTTATGAGTGGGCAGCTGCGTGTGGAGGTAGAGGTCTCCCCGCTTAGTTGATGAGTGGGCAGCTGCGTGTGGAGGTAGAGGGTCTCCCCACTTAGCTGATGAGTGGGCAGTTACATGTGGAGGCAGAGAAGGGTGAGCCAGGCTACTGCCTCACCATAGATGCTGTGCTTTGTATTCTGTACAAATGTGTACAAAATATAAAGAGCCCATCTCTAGTCTATAATCTTTGTTCAGAGGTCAGTTTTCTTTGACCTCATAAGTTAATGAAAACTCTCCATTTTTATGGTAAACCCCTTTCTTTTTCCAAACAAACAGATCTCCTCTGTTCACAAACAGAAGTCCTTTGGGGGAAAAAAGAATGAATGACATATAGAAGTTGTTATAAGCAAATGTTACAGGAAGTTCAAATGGAGAACTAACAATGAGATAGATGGGGTGATAGACAAGGTTAGTAACTGTGTACTGTTCAGTTAATTCTGACTTATGGCAACCCTTTCCAAGGGCTACCATACAGATGTATCCTCCATCACATAATTAAAGAATAAAAGACCATCCAGTAGACACTAAACCCATCACCATCATGCCCATTCTAAAGCTTGCTGCCGAATGGTAAAGAGCTTGGAAAAACCAACCAACCAACCAACCAACCAACCAACCAACCAACCAACCAACCAACCAACCAACCAACCAACCAACCAACCAACCAACCAACCAACCAACCAACCAACCAACCAACCAACCAACCAACCAACCAACCAACCAACCAACCAACCAACCAACCAACCAACCAACCAACCAACCAACCAACCAAACTGTTCATCCTCCTCTTTCTCCTTCTCTTTCTCTTCCTCCTCTTCTTCTATAGCTCCCTGAATCCTCTTGCAAGTGTGGCCAGCAGCCACACTGGCAGGTAAATTCTAAGAGTTGTCATTCAGAAGTGGGACCAGGTTAAGGACTTAAGAATCCATTACCTGTAGAGGTGGGTAAACATCGTCCCTTTATAATGAATAGCTGCACTAAGACTTGGTAAAGAACTGGAGGAAAAGTGCAGCTGAGGTCATAGAAGTCTGGTTTAAATCATACCTTAACATGATTACTGGAAAGTTACAAAAAAGGTGAACCTCCAGGTCCTTCGGGCACAGATGTTACAGAAATTAGGGAACTAGAAAAATGCAAGAAGTCCCCAGAAGTCCCACAAAGCTCGGCAGAAGTTATAACATTGTTCCTGAAATCTGGCTGACAAAGCAAGATGGAGATTGTCAATCCAGGGTGTAAGAAAGGTTTCATCGTATATCATCTTATATCATCGTATATCATCTTATCTTTGAGGATTATGAGGTGGTATATAAGCAGCATACTTTGCTTTAAAATCGTTCCATTTTGGTTCGTTTTCAGCTCGTTCAATGACTGGAAACAAACCAAAGTGAGCCTTCCTCATAGAATTTGCCTTATCCTGAAGTGGCTTAAGACTAGAACCACTTCAGGATACTGGCAAATTAAACACTTCTTTGGCTCTGTGGAAGGGCTTGAAAAAGTCAGGGAAAATATTTGCCTCTGTGCTTTGAAATTCTCTTCCCAGGTCTCGGTGACATAAGAAATCCCTTCAGAGATTCAGGATGGGATGTGATGTCAAATAATTTCAATTGGCCTTTGGATGTTATTAAATTTCTACTTCTCTGCTTATGTGTTAAATTAATGTATATCAAACAAAACAGTCTTCCACTGTTGCTGTTTAATTTCTATTTACATTTCTATCATCTAAGTGAAATATTTCATGATTTGATTCTATCTCTACTGTCCTTCCAGAAGCAGGCGAAGACCTTCTTTTCATATATAGGCATAGGCAAAAGGGATGTTTATATATATATAAAACAAAATAAACAGATTCCAAAAACAGCCCACAAATGGGAGAAAGGAATGAAGGATTCTGAGGAATATCCTAGAGAGGAGAAAAACCGAAGCGGCAGGTGAAAAAAAAACGCATTCATTTCTGAAACCTTAACTGCTGGATAGCTCAGTGGCTGAGGTCTCCGGCTGTGGAGCCTGAGGTTTGGGAGTTCAATTCCCCACTTGTGCACTCTTGATAGGGGCTGGACTTGATGATCCTTGGGGGGGGGGTCCCTCTCTGCAGTTCGGAGATTATTATCAAAGTTAAGGTTAAAGTTTAAATTTGCAGGGCATTGTCAGCCAATAAAGCTGCAACCTCTGGGCTATTAAAAAAAAAAACTGTATAGTACAGAAAAGGCCAGCCGAAATTCAGCAGGTTAAACTGAGTTCCCTTCGGTGTCCTTTAGAGGGCCGTCTTGCCTTCACACGTGCGGTTCGCTCCGGCCAGGAAGCCTCAGAGCGAAAGTGAAAAGGCGCAGGTATGTGATCCGGATTGACTCCGCTTGCCGGTTTCCCGGATGTCTCATCTCCGGATCGGAGCCCTGGTCTTTCTCGCTTTCTTCAGCCAGATCACAGGTAGGGTGCCAACCCCCCCCCCCTCCCCCGAGATCCCGGCACGCACTTGGCCGTCCCTGAAGCCAAAGTTTTCAAAAAGTTTGTGGCGGACACGCGGGACCAGAACAGGTATAAGATGTATGTTGTTGGGGGGGGGGGGGGGGAGATTTATGGCCAAAGAAAGAAAGAAAGAAAGAAAGAAAGAAAGAAAGAAAGAAAGAAAGAACAACGGAGGATCCGTCCCACAAAATGCTTTGGCCCTAAAATTGGAAAGTAGCGCGTCTCCGAAGAGTCACGGCGAAAGGGAATGTGTGGACGGGCGAGAATCGTTTCTGTTTCGCACAAGCTCCCTGGAGGTGAGAATCCGGTCCTGGCCTTCAGGTAGCTGCCTAGTTGAGCCACATCTGTAAAACCTCTGCCCCGTTCAAGGCACATCACTTCCCAAGGCTGGTTAAACCATTGTGTGTTTGTTTGTTTGATTGATTGACGCAGGAATAATCTCTCTCTTTGAACGTTTGGGGTTTTATTTTTCCTGCTCATGCTTACGAATGTGCCCTGTTTTTGCCACCTAATATTATCGTACTCAATGTTTATAAAGTATTTTACAGTCATTATTTCTTTATTCGTGGGCATTATGTGTCCTGTTTGTGGTTTATATGAGTTCTTCATTGGGTCTGTGGGCTCCTCGGTGATTGGTTGGCCGGCCAGAATATCGGTGGCTGTGCCACAGGTTGACCGGGATAAAATTTATTTTATTTATTTATTTATT